ACAGCCACCTCAGTACTGAGCAGGAGTCTTACTCACCTGCTCAGTGTTTTCTGGTTTGAACCCCCAGACCCAACGTCAGGCCTTGACCATCCTCTCTAATTACATATTCTAGCCCTGGGTGATGGAAATTACAGAGGCAAATTTTTCTATTCATTTCTATGTGATAAGTAGCATTTCCAGTACTGAGGGCCTGACCTCATAAATGAATTTACAATGAACACCAGCGACTCATTTTCCTGAATCATAATTGAAATGAAAATTTCCCAAGTTCTGGTCTCACATCATTTGACTCAGGCGCAAGTCATTGTTGTTGCCAAATGACGTCAAAAGCCTGGTCTCTGCTGAGCCTCAAATGTGACCCCCTTCTTCTTCCCCTCTCATGTAAGCATATACAGTAATTCTTCTGTAGTTAAACTCATAGCCCAAGAGCAGCAGATTTTCTAATTCAGGCATTTTAATAACTGTTTAGTATCTCCATGGTCCTAAGAGGAGGGGTTATGAGCAAGGAATGTGTTCCAGTGACAATCTTCAGAGACTAAGAATTATTAGAAAATCATTTTCTCCTTCACTAAAGGTCAGTGAGTAAATTATAATATAAAACATTTGCTGAATAATAGCCATACTTGCTGACTTAAACACTGCAGGGATATGTTTATTCATTTTATATAATTTGGCAGCAAACCTCTTTTATCCAAGTAAAGTTTTACTTACCCCTAATGATATTTCACAGAAAACGGCCAAACTAAAACAGCAAGATAAAATGTTGGTGATATGCTACATCTTCATTTGACAGCCTCATGATATCCTCATGGAAAGGGAGAACGAAGACTGTATTATGAACACATGGGCAAATTCAACCCATGGAACTCAGGGGATGAATCCCAGTCATCCAACAACTATTTACTGAGGCCCTCACTGCAATGTTAGGCTCATGTTAGACTCTGTACAGTCCTGGCTTTCAAGGAGCTTATGATTTACTGGGGACCTCAATAAGGAAGCAATTCCAAGACAACAATAAGGGCCATGAGAGACAAAGGAGAATGCTAGGAGAGGGCAGGGCAGACCTTCAGCCCTTGAGGGTCATCTCAAAGAACTTGTGAAACATAGGGAGTTAGGGGGAAAAAGAAAACTGATGAGAGAAGGACAGCATAGAGAAACAGCTACAAAAGAGAATACGGAGCAGGTCCAGGGTTTAAACTGAAGTGCAAACACAAAGCTTAAACAGAGAAGTTTAAACTGATTCAGATGAGTGCTCTGGAAAGCTCATGCCGAGGGCCACGACTGGAGGCAGAGACGGCAGCTGGGGCTGTTGCCAGGAAAAGAGGAGGGGGCTCAAATGGCATCACAGAATGTCCCCTGACCACTGTGTTGATGCAGGCAATGAGATAAGTGCTTCACAAGTTTTATCTCATTAAATCTTTACAACAATCCAGAAGAAAGAACTGATCCTTATTTTTCAGATAAGACAACTGCTGATACTGTCTTGTTTTCCTATCCGTTTTCCCCATAATCTCTCAACAACTGAAATGTATTTATCGCTTCCTCTGCTGCTTAAAACAGTGCGTGGCAGTAGATGCTCAGGTGTACAGGATAGATAGGTGGGTGGATAAACAACTGATCAAGGACTTGGGCCAAGATAACATTAAGTTAAGAGGCCCACACCTGCTGCATTCACTGTGCTTACCACACTAATTTGCAACTCAGTCTCTGCTGGTCCTTTTCAGTCTCTCTGGGCTGATCCCTCATCCCTCTAATCTGCAGACTGCCCTAGACTCAGTCGTCGGGGCCCCCTGTCTTTTCTACCTACACCCACTTCGCTGCTGATTTCATCTAGTCCTTTGATTTTTAAATATCATTGGTTCACTGATGACTCTCAGATTTCTACTTCCAGCATGGCCCTTCCCCACGAACTGCAGAGCCTTGCATCCCACCTACACAGCATCAACACTTGGAATGTTTAACAGGCATCTCAAACTTACCGTGTCTGCAAAGCTGCTTTCATTGTCTTCTTCATCTCAGCTGACAGCAATTCTCCTCTTGCAGTTGCTCAGGCTAAAACCTTGCATCATTCTTGTCTTGTCTCTCACAACCTTTATCCAATCTGTCAGCAAATCCTATTAACTCTTATCTTCAAAATACGTCCAGAATCCCAACTTGTCACAATCTCTGCTGCTGCCACCCTAGTCTGGCCCACCTTCATTTTGTCCGAATTATAAAAGCTTCTCATTGGTTCCCCTTTCAATTGATTCCCACTGCCTGGGTGATTCGTTAAAGCTTAAATCAGATCACTCCACTGCTCAAACCTCCTACACTGGCTCCCAGAGTCAAAAGTGAAGTCCCTACTGTGGCCTAAGAGGCAGCCTCCAGTGCTACCCCAATTCCTCTCTGCCCACCTCTCCCGTCAGACTTCCCACACTCACCCTTCTCCAGCCACATAGGCCCCCTGGCTGCTCCCAGAATGCACCAACCCATCCCACCGGAGTCTGCGCCTGCTGTACCTTTGCTTCAGAATGGTTTCACGACAGCCGCAGAGCTCACTTCCTCACATCTTTAAGGTCTGTACGAGCATCACCTGCTGAAAGAGCCAGTCCATCTAAAAACGTAACCCCTTCCCCTCCACTTAATAACACCAAATTCACTACAGATTTTACTTATTTACTTTTTCTGTCTCTCCCGGGCCCCTACCTGCAGTAAGGCAAGAATTTTGTTTTGCTTACCCCTGTATTCCCAATACCTACAACAGTGCCAGGCACATGGTACATCTCAATATTTATTAAACAAATGCATGAACAAACTAAGTGAATAAATAAATGAATTCTCTTTTTTACAGGATCTTCTTCATGCCAGCCACACCGGGCAGGAACCATCAGAGAGACACACTGAGGAGGCACTCAGAAAATTTTGATAGAATTGAATTTACATATAGCCGATAAAGCCTAGATAGAAAGACTGATGGATTTAGCTTGAATCTTTCACTTTAGTTGTCTAATCAGCTGATAAATGACAAGCAAAGAGTGAAACAATCCAAAAATGTTTTTCAAAACAATTTTGTGAATTTTATTTTTACAAAAGTTTTTTAAATTCATATTTTAAAATGTATAACAAGGCAAAAAATCATAAGCTATCACAAATACAAAGAGTTTCAAAACATACAAGAAACATATAATGTAAAAAGATTTTATATATATGAAGTCCAATGTAATTTCTAATACAAAAAAAATCAGGATGGGAAAATGCTTTAAAAATGCTCAACTGCAAACTACAAAACAAAATTTTCCTCTGGATTAACTGCATGAACTGCCATGAAATTTACACCTCCATCCTATTAGGTGTCTCTTCTTTCTTCATGTTACTTTGACTTTCTTCCCATTTTTCTTTTACGACAGGGTCTTGCTGTGTCACCCAGGCTGGACTCAAACTCCAGGGCGCAAGCAATCCTCGTGCCTTAGCCTCCCGAGGAGCTGGGATTACAGGCACCTGCTACCGCACCCGGCTCTTAATTATTTTTTAAGACAAGGGCCATTCAAGGCTTTTTAAAAGCTGGTGTATGTTGTTATACTTTAACAGTCAGTGGCTTTTAATTCCAAAAGGTAATACTTTATACTCTGAGCTATATGTGAGATGAGCCCCTAAACAGTGTGCACAAATAAAATTATGATTTGGATAGTCTAAGGAGACATACCACTTACAGAAATTTCTTTTAATAAAATTAAGGTTTCACTTTTCACATTTGCTTAAAATCACAGTAAGCCTGTAAACTAGCTCCTCAACCCACCGCTTAAAAACAAAAAACCTCCTTAACAATGCAAAATATTGTATTCACTGTATTTATGGTGCCATCACAGGCTAAATAGGAATATCTTATCGAAAATACATCTGAGTGGTCTATTCCCTTACCCTCTCTCCAAACAACCCCAGAGTTATACTAATATGCACCAACAATAAAAACAAGTTGTTTATCTACTATTAACACTAGTAATCATTTGATTTAGTTACAGTTACAGAAACAAAAAGAAATCTTTGAATTTTGCTTATTTTTTTCTGGGAATGACATTTACTATTATCTCCATTGCCCTTAATAATATATTTCAGAGACAATGCTTTTTTAGATTTAAGCTTCAGCTAAAGTTCCTGATCAGGAGGTCAAAAATAGCTAGTTAGTGGTGATTTTTTTTTCCCCTGTCAAAAGCTATTTTTCCTGATTAACCTTGGAGATAAAAGAAGAGGAAGGAAAGTAGGATGGAAAGTGGTGGGGTGGGGGGTGGAGGGCTGGAAGGGAGAGAGAGAGAGAGAGAGAAAGGTAAATAGGTTGATTGAAAGGTTAATCCTCTAGAGTTACTAGAAGAACACAGAGCTTCTAGAACTACACAGAAAACCAGAGAATTACAAAGGAAACCAGAGAATTCTCTTGAAATTCACTAAGAGAATGGCATTGACAATGCCATTCATCTAAAAGTAAATGGAATCAGATGAAAATTGTTTTATTTCACATTTCTTAGAAAAATATTAAGGCTTATGATTAAAATTGGCCCCAACTCAATGACTAACATTTAGCAATGGAGAAGCTGCTTTTTAAAAAAGAAAAAAGTGAGGATTAGGCAAGATCAGATTCATTCAAGTAAGAAGTCTGGTATGTAAGAAACCAGAGGGAGCAAGGCTAGTGCCCAACTCAGATACTGACAACTAGAGTCCAGATATGGCACAGCGCTGCCAGCAGCTACAGCGAGAAAAGGATAGACCAGTAAAATCTATTCTCTCCAACATACAAGTTTTACTTCACAAAAAGAATAGTTGAAGGCTGGGCCAGTGGCTCAGTCCTGTAATCCCAACACTTTGGGAGGCTAAGGCAGGAGGATTACTTGAGGCTAAGAGTTCAAGACCAGCCTAGGCAACATAGTGAGACCCTGTCTCTTCAAAAAATTTAAAAATTAGCTGGGTGTGGTGGCTCATGCATGTAGTCTCAGCTACTTGGGAGGCTGAGGCAGGAGGATTGCTTGAACCCAGGAGTTTGAGGCTGCAATGAGGTATGATCATGCCGCTGCACTCCAGCCTGGGTGATAGAGAAACACCCTGTCTCCATTAAAAAAGAAGGGGTCTGGCCAGGTGTGGTGGCTCACACCTGTAATCCCAGCACTTTGGGAGGCCAAGGTGGGCGGATCACAAGGTCAAGAGATCAAGAGCATCCTGGCCAACATGGTGAAACCCCGACTCTATTAAAAATACAAAAATTAGCTGGGCGTGGTGGCTCGCTCCTGTAGTCCCAGCTACTTGGGAGGCTGAGGCAAGAGAACGCTTGAACCCAGGAGGCAGAGGTTGTAACGAGCCAAGATCGCACCATTGCACTCCAGTGGGGCGACAAAGCGAGAATGTTAACAAAAAAAAAAAAAAAAAAAAAAAAAAGGAAGGGTCCTGCTAAATCCAAGGCTCACTTATTGAGTCAATTAAAGGAAATGCTGCAGACTATGCGCACAGACACATTTTTAAAGCAAATTTAACGAGTGCAAATAAACTCCAAGATTATATTTGGGAGAACAATACCCCCTTGGGGTAAGTGTCATTCAAAAAGCAGGTCACTGCTACCCTGAGGCACAGCCTGCATAACAGTATTAAATACAGATATTAAAATACAGACTTTCTCCAAATTCTTCTCATTAATTATGTCCACCATTTTGAATGCATCCAGACAGAATTTTACCAACAGTATAACAAGGTATGTATTCACATTTTCATTTGCATCTTAATACAAACTGTTGATGATGATCATGAAAAACAAGATTAAAGGTATGTTCATTTGGGAAGAAGCTACATTAATGTTATTCATCCAACCACAAACACTTTTGTAATGAATGCAATACTGCACAACAATTCAGAGCTTTATAAAAAGTTGTTATCAGAGTTTCATTAGAATTTTTTTCCAATTCAAATTTTTAAGAAGTTCAACTTACATTAATGCTTAACTATTTTATTCTAAAGTCTGTAAAATATATAAAATACCAAGATTATCCACAGTCACATATGTTTTGAAGTCAGGGGACACGTGTATTTTCTTAAGATTGGTTCCATTTGTGTAGAAGGTCTGTAAGGATTGCCCAGTGACAACGTTCCACCACTGTTAAGAGAAAAATAAAATTCTCATTAGATTGGTAATTACACTGTGTGACAATTTATAGTGCCAACAGATCCTTTGCCCTATCTCCTCTCCTCAACCAAACTCAAGCAAACAGAAGGAAAATGTCTCGGGTTTAATGCTGAATATAGTGTTCAACCTGGTCAGCCTTTTCTTGATGAACACTTGTGATGGCCTCACTGCTCCACCTACAACTAACTCCAAGTGGGAGAAACATGCAGCCTGCTTCAGAGCTGCAGACAGAAAGCTACAGAGTCCATTATGGCAATGACTGGACTGAACTCTCTTGTCTGCATGTCCTTCTCAGGAGAATGGGCAGTAGGTTGCCCCTCGCTTCACTCAAATGCCCCTTTGCAGACACAGACTGGTATTCTGACAGAGACCCAAACTATTTGTAATATGGGCTACAGGAAAGAATGTTCTCTCTACTAAATCTTTCCTTTCTCCAGGTGTGATGCAAGAGTCCTTCACCAAGTTTCTTTATACAATAATCTACATTATTTACTAAACAAATATTGAACATCTCAAACACAGCAAGTGCTCTAGCCAAGTCCTTCCTTTCCTTCCCAATCATTGAATTTGCTAGTAGTATTTATATTCATTTAACAAATGGGAATCATAAAGCTTACCCATATATCTCACAGCTAAAATGGGGGCAAGAGAAATAAACGTAAAGTTTTTTGAAAAGGCCTCAAGCACACCAAGATCCTGAGTATTATGCACACAATGACAGTGTCACCCAACTTTGTGCCTATGGCAGTGCCCAGCATTCTGCCTTTCCCATGTGAGTGCGTCAAGAATGCGTGTTCACTAATAGTAATAATAAATGCTAAAAGTATACCCAATGGACTTTGGTAAACCTCACTGAAGCAGCATGCACTAACTTGGGATTACCCACAACTCACAGTTTGCTTTGTAAAATAACAATGTAATCAAGACTGCAGAGAACACATTCCACCAACCTGAGAGAAGACTCATGTTCTCAGTCACAAAGGCTCTTAGAGATCACTTAGTTCCACTGCCCAAAAAATGTATGCCACCAAGAACGAACCCTAAACTATGGACTTTGGGTGATAATGAGGTGTCAGTGGAGATCCATCAATTGTAATAAAGGCACGTCTTTGGTGGGAGGATGTCATAATGGGAGAGGCTATGTATTTGTGGGGGAAAGGGGTATATGGGAAATCCCTGAAATGAGCTAGGTATTATCATTACATCAATTTTAGACAAGAAAATCAAGGCACAGAAGTTAAACAACCTTAAGCAAGGTCACAAAGTTAATGAGTGGCAGAGCCAGGCTTTGAACTCAGGCATTCTATCTAAAGGGCAAGGCCCACTTTCCTGAACATTACACTCTGCTGCCACCAAGTCACAGCACACCACCATTTATCACCATGTATTCCATATTTCAAATCAGCTTTTCCCTTCATGCGCGTGAATAAATGTGAATTTCTTGTCATTCACTATGTACTCCGTGGCATAATGAAGGCAAACAGTTAAATTATTTTTTCACTTATAAATAAGAATAATTCGGAAGTTAAGAACTTTTTAGCTTCTGGATACCTACTTTATCTCACTGGCAACTCAATTTATACAGCTTGGATTCTAAAGTAAACAGACTCAAAAGGCCTATTTTTTTGGACACTACAGCAGCTGTTCCTTTTTACTTTTAATTTGCTCTGTGCTTTTGGACAGTCTCATTAACATGCTGTGTAGATGCAGGCTGGGCTATATCATAATCAGTTGAATAAGCTAGTAATCAAACCAGAAGGCAAAGGAGCCTGACTGTCATTTAAATATACAGACTAAATATATAGGCTAGAAGTTCTTTTACCCTTAAGACATAATCTCTATAGTATGTAAACCTATTCTGCTGCTTTATTTCAAGGTTCCCCAAGAACTCTGCAAATATGGTCACTGATCTTTATAACATCTTATAAGCCAGACTCTCAATTATGTGATAGCATTCTGTGGAGGCCAGAGAATCAAATGATGTGGTCTCTAGAAACTTGGTATCAAAGCAGTTAAATTTGTCAGCAGCTAATATAGCTGAAGACTCCCAGCTTCCAATACAGACAGTAATGACTCTCCTCTAAGCATCATCCTCAGAGCAGAGTCAGTTCCAGTTCTTTACACTAAAGGAGAACAATTGGTGATCATTTCTCAGGATCTCCTAATAACTGAATAAAGATGTAGGTTAATGCAACATTTTGTAAACAGAATTGTGTTTTCAATGAAATCTTGAAAGGGATACATACATCCTTTCTTTAAAAAAAAAAATTGATATATTACAGTTGTACATATTTTGGGGGTATACATGTAATACAAGGTGCAATGATCAAATTAGGATAATTGAGATATCCATCACCTCAAACATTTATCTTTTTTTTGTGTTGGGAACATTACAGTTCTTCTAGCTATTTTGAAATATACAATAAATTGTTAACTATAATTTCCCTATTGTACTATCAAATACTAAAACTTATTTTTTTGTCTATCTGTATTTTTGTACCTCTTAGTACATCCTTTCATAAAGCTAAACACTGCCCTCTAATTTATCATTTTTAGAAGCTAGATTTTTATGACAGCAAAATTGCAGCCATGTGGATCTCATATAACCAAAACACCAGTCATTCAAATATTTCTGAACACTTATTCTGTGTTAAATAATTAACGAAAATCATCTCTTACACCTGAATGTTTTCAGTAAGAAACAACAGTATCATAAGATCTTATTAGGAATCAATTTTAAATGAAATAGCTCTCAGAATGTCCAAGTGATCAGACCAATATAGAGGAGCCATGGACCAGTACTGGTCCGTGGCCTTTTAGGAACCCAGCTGCAGGGCAGGAGGTCAGCGGTTATTGAGTGAACACTACCGCCTGAGCTTTGCCTCCTGACAGATCAGTGGCAGCATTAGATTCTCATAGGAGCAGGAGTCCTACTGTGAACTGCACGTGTGAGGGATCTAGCTTGCATACTCCTTACAAGACTCTAATGCCTGATGATCTGAAGTGAAACAGTTTAATCCTGAAACCATTCCCCGCCCCCCACTGCCCACTACCACACCATCTGTGGAAAAACTGTTTTCCAGGAAACTAGTCCCTAGTAGCAAAAAGGTTGCAGACCACCAATATAGAGTATCATCTTCTATCACTTTTACAAGTAAATCGCTATTCAAAAGACTCACTTCAAGCATTCCCCTCCAGGTGAAGCCTCTGCTAACTCTCTAAGGTTGGTATGTTCACTCCTCTCCTTTGCAATTCTGCCTCACTCAAGGAAGCAAGTCACAGACCCCTTCTAAACTCTGGGGATTTTATGTTTACCACCTGCTTCCCTCATAGACTAAGCTGCTGAAAGGCAGGAACCAAGCCATAAACACTGTGCCACACAGCAGTGGCCTTAGCAAACACTGGGCATTCTACAGTCTATGACCCTGAAGCGCCACAACACACTCAAATTGCAGCCTCAACTACTAGTAAGTTTTAAAAAGCTAATTTGCTAGAGAGAACAGAGGCAGAGACCTGGGTTTGAGTCCTGGCTTTTCTATTTACTAATTATGCAACTTTATTTTTTTGTTTTGTTTTGTTTTGTTTTTGAGATGGAGTCTCGCTTTGTTGCCTAGGCTAGAGTACAGTGGTGCAATCCCAGCTCACTGCAACCTCCACCCCTAGGGTTCAAGCAATTCTCATGTCTCAGCCTCCCGAGTAGCTGGAAGACCAGGGACCTATCACCAAACCCAGCTAATTTTTGTATCTTTAGTAGAGACAGGGTTTCACCATGTTGGCCAGGCTGGTCCTGAACTCCTGACCTCAAGTGATCCACCCATCTCATCCTCCCAAAGTGCTGGGATTACAGGTGTGAGCCACTGCACCCAGTACTAATTATGTAACTAGGAAAGTTATAACCTCCATAGAAAATCATTTTCCTCATCTGTAAACCAAGAATGAAATTTAAGCCTCACAAAGCTGGCTAATAGGATGAGGGAAGTTAAGCATTTTGTAACTATAAAGCAATATATTGCTGCCATTATTACTGAAGAAATTTCAAAAATATGGTTTTTTTTTTAAGATTTTCAACCAACATAGTTAATTGCGATTGACATGGAAAACAGAACTCAGTTAAACACCCAACTTGCTACTCATTCTGATGCCCCAAGTTTAGTATGGGGCAGTATGAAAGCTCTCGACTGAAGGCATCCCTAACACTGTCACCAAAGCTTTTCCAAGATCTGAGGAAAGTAGTCTTGTGGAACTCAGTCTCATCACTACAAAGTGGGGATAACAGTAACTGCCATTTTTTCTTTCTTTTCCTTTTTTATTTTTTAATGTTTTATCTGGTTCTTTTTTTGTTTTCAATATTTTTTTCTGTTCTTTTCAGTTACTAAACTCATTTTACTACCAGGTTTTTTTTGTTTTGTTTTTGAGACAGGGTCTCACTCTGTCACCCAGGGTGGAGTACAATAGCGCAGTCATGGATCAACACAGCCTTGACTTCACAAGCCCGAGTGATCCTCCCACCTCAGCCTCCAGAGTAGCTGCCTTTTTACTCTGCTGGGTTGTTAGAGGCCCAACTGAGAAACAGGAAATGAAAATAGCTTGGAAAGTATGATATAGGCTATTATTTTCTTTCACAGTCCTTGGGGAACTCTTACCTTAAGATATCCTCCAGCAGAGATAAGCATTTTGCCATCTGGAGAAAAGCAAAGGTCAGTCACCCAGCCTCCATGGGTAGCAGCTCCTTCTTCTGAAAGTGGAGCACACAAATGAAGCAGCTCACCGTTTGAGACATTCCATATCTAAGTAAACATGATACACAATTCATTAACAGAGTTATACAGAAGTTTCTCTAGTTTTAAAACATATATATGACCATATATATGTATTCTAAAATTATTTTACTAGACTTTTATAAACAACCCTATCACAGATGCTAATATTTCCATTTATTTCCAGTGACATTTAATATATAAGCAGTGCTCTAATTCTTCAAATAAATGTACATCAGAATAAGAAAAAGAAACAAAGGCATAAATGGCAAAAGAAAATAAAATCATCATTTGCAAATGTCTCCCTAGAAAATCCAAGAGAACCAAATGGAAAAACTCATTAGAAAGAGTTCAGTAAGACAGTACATATACATACAAAAATCAACAGCTTTCCTATATCCTGAATAATCAGGGAGAAAAAAATTTTTTTAATGTACCAACAAAAATTTTTAAAATAATGCAATTTTTAAAATAATGCAATTTTCTGCAGTGGTTGAAAACTGAAACACCACCTGGTAACTGGTAAAGGAGCACTTTGATCCAAAGATGCAAACTCGGAGCAAAATGAACATTTACAAATCAGCCCTGCCACTTCAGCTGACACACATTTATGTGACTGGTAGAGAAGATTGGTTACTTAGTCCTCGAGAAGAAGAATCTCAATTTCCCTGGAAAGCCCATCTGATAACACCTCTATTCCTGCAAACTGTATACTCTCCTAGTCTTCTGCACTATATACCTATTCCTGGAGTTGTAAATCCTCCTTTGTAATGAAAGGGGGAAAACCCCCACCTTCCTCACATATACTGGTTACCAAAGCAACCGTCCCAATGCCCAAACTTTTCCAATCAGCTCCCCATAGTTCTTCTGACACAACTAAGTCAATTGACTCCTTTTCCATAATTTCTAATCTTTCCACATGCAATACTTTCCATAGTGTACTGTTTCCACAGACACAAATAAAACAACATTCTATGCCTCCTAAAAAGTTGTTTTCTAAAAGTCAAAATTATACATCTAAAAAAAAATGTTTTCTAAATAAAATTGTCATGGTTTGTATGCATATCTTAAGCACTGCAGGGTAATAAAAATTGGCCTATCATGGAGACTCTGACTCAATAAGGAGCCCTCCGCTGCCCCCCAGTGACGGAAATGTGAACCTCTGTTCGGTTCAACAGGCAGGCAGTCCTCAGAGGACTGTAACAAACCACACTGGAAATGGCTATCTAATGGGTATAGTGCTAAAGAGATCTTTTCTTTCAGCACAGAAACAGCAGGATTTGCAATTCATTTATAATCCAGACCACAATTTACAAAATTATTTTCCTCAAATCCTGCTACCAAAAACAACCTTTGGTTCAAGTCCAAAAATTAAGATGAATCATTCTCAAGCTAATGGTGCAGAATGAACTGCAAATAACTAGAGCATTTGCCTTCTCACATATACAGGGAATGCTTCACTCTAACTCTAAAATGAATTCATTTCTGCAGTGGAGTGCAGCTGTGAATACAATGTGCACAAGAAACAAAAAGAATGCCTCATCCAACCAGAACTTCAGGAACTATGCTTCCCTGGCCCATGAACAAAGGTCCCCACTGTGAAGAGTGCTAGCCCAAGCTACAAGAAGAGCAGTGCTCTCACGCCAGCAAACAGCCTACCCTGATTTCTCCATTGTCATCTCCCGTTGCCAGCAGGGTACTGTCCACAGAGAAGGCAGAGCAGCGCACACAACCATTATGGCCCCTCAATTCATGAAGTGGCGAAAGGAGATCAAAACTCCAGATCTGGAAGGCAATTAGGATTGTTTAGCATTGCTACATATGCTCAAAGTAAGCATCTGTAAACCCTGCCTTGAGTGCTCTTCAACCATAGATTCAATCACATGAAAGTTCTAATATTTGGGAATTCATAAACTTTCATGAGATGCCCAAGGTCTTGCATGCAATCTTCTTAATTTTTCTGAGTTTCCCTTTAACTACTCAGTTAAATTCAGCTCAAAGATCAATGTCACTCTTTCCCTACTTTAGACCTAGATAGAAGAAGACTGAATCAGCTAAGAGCAGTCTGTGGAGTCAAGCAGACCTCAGTGTGTGTCCTGGCTCCACTGTTGGCTAGATTCTTGTGACTAGGACAACTCATATAAGTTTCTATAGCTTCAGACTCTGCATCTGTAAAATGAGGACAATCATACCTATGATGTGAAGATTAAATGAGATTACAAAGAGTGAAATTACTAGCATGTGACAAGTAATCTTTAAAGGTTAGTCACTATACTAGTCTACTATCTTGGCAGCCAAATGCTGGGTTTTTTTTCCTTTCAATATTTTCTCTCATGGCTTTGTCAACCTCATTTAGCAAGCACATATTAAAAACTACCAAGTTCCAAGCACTGTGAGCTAAGAGCTAGTGGTACAAAAAGATAAACTAGCTACAGTCACTATCCTTGAAAAGTTTATAGTACAATCACAAAGGCAGGCTCATAAACAGTTAGTGAACAGTTGTATGAAGTAAATGTTCTAACAAATGAATAAAATGTAATAGAAACCCTAGAGGTAGAGAAGGAAATGCTTCAAAAGAGCTGCCATCAAATCTAGGTCTAGAAGGATGAGTCACAATGCTTCAAGGTAAAAGAGTAGAGGTTTATCAAACCAAAGTTAGCAGCATGTACAAAAAGACAAAGGTGGAAAGTAGGCTGGTACAGAGGAAACAATATAGCAGAAAAAGACAGTGATGAGCTAAGTAGTTGGCCTATAAACCATTAGGTAACAGGTGTTTCAACAAGGGACACAGGCAGTGGTATGGAAGATAAAGTAGAAGAGGTGCAGACCAGAGGCAGAGTGCTGGGACAGTCCACCAGTGGAGGAGGAGGAAAGCATGCTCTTCGGGGCAGTGACAAGGAGGAGAAGACAAATCTGAAGGGCACTAAAGAGTCATCAACAGAGCACAAAAGTCAAAATAGAGTCCCTGACGATTCCAAGGTTTATAGTCTGGAAAGATTGGTAGAAGGAGAAAAAAGGAGAGAAGGGAGTACTTAAGGTCCCCAACCAAGCAGCATCATCATTCAGAATGTGATTTTATACACACATCTATTATATTACATCAATTATGTTAAAATTTTACTGTCAGTGTATAATTCAACATAAATCCCTTTCAATGATTTTTATTGCCTATAATATGTAATAGAGGTTGCATCTGATTAGTTATAGACAAAAATTAATCCGTAAGGGAGAAATCATTAGTCCTCAATGTATTTAATTTGGCACCAACTAAATACCAATGGGCATCCTCCAAAAGATCACAAAATACGAGACAGACATGCAAAGAGCAACTGTTATGTCCTGTTGGATATATTATTTGGACTCATTATGCATAACCACTACCAAAGTTTTATGCAGAGTTTCAACTGATTGACCTACCTTTGCAGTCTTGTCAGCAGAGGTAGATGAAAACTTGGTAGCATCATGAGAAATGTCACAAGAAAGTACTGTACCCTGGTGACAGACAAAGTCTTTTTCTACTTTTCCAGTAATAATATTCCATACCTTAAAAAAAAAAAGTTGACATTTTTAAGAACATTTTACATTAAAAATCATAATCAGCTATAAGACAAATGTATAAAACAAGAGTTTTAGTACACTGACTGTTCTGACCCCTTTATTTTAAATGTCTGCTAGTATAAATGCTCATTAAAACATAGCAGATGGGCCAGGCACGGTGGCTCACGCCTGTAATCCCAGCACTTTGGGAGGCTGAGGCGGGTGGATCATGAGGTCAGGAGTTCGAGACCAGCCCCTGACCAACATGGTAAAACCCCATCTCTACTAAAAATACAAAAATTAGCTGGGCGTGGTGGCACACACCTGTAATCCCAGCTACTCAGGAGGCTGAGGCAGGAGAATTGCCTGAACCTGGGAGGCGGAGGTTGCAGTGAGCCAAGATTGTGCCACTACACTCCAGCCTGGGCAACAGAGTGAGACTTCATCTCAAAAAAAAAAAAAAAAACACACACACACACACACACACACAGCAGATGTAGGTGACTGCAACGAACAGAAAACAAGCATGAGAAAAATTTAAAAATTTTAATGTAAGTAATTACTTAGCCTCCAGTGGCTTTTGGCTGTCTCAATATAATCATTGCAATATGAGAATACTTTTTTAAAAAAACAAACTTATGCTTCAAATTACCTTCACTGTTCCATCAAATGACCAAGAAAGCAGTCTTGAATTTTTCAAGAGTCTGAAGTCTTTCACTGTTTCCTGATGGGCTTGTAGAACATCATATTCCTCCAATTGCCAATTCCATACCTGAATATCAATGAAATAAGTCTGATATTATCCTCCCCTGATCCTATCTCATTGGAGGGGTGGAAAGAGTGTGCATTCTCTTGTCTAAATCTTTTACTCATATGGCATTTCAGTAAAACAGAGAAGAGACTATGGTGTCCATATTTTACAGACAGAGAAAAGCTGGGGTTAAGTAAATTGACTAGGGGCAAAATAAAACACTTTTCCTCCTGAATAAAATTTGTTTTCTTCAGTTGCTTGGAGAACAGTTAATTATACCAGAAGATAGAAAAAAACCACAATATGCCAGTGAGCTCACCATCTGATTAAATTTTCCTAAGAAAATTATCCCAATTACATATTCACAGATTTCTGAACCTACAGGCCGGGGAAGTCTGCAGATCCTGGTTCCACTGAAGCTGGCCTGGGAAGGTCAGCTGATTAAAGCAGCTTCAAACCAGAACATGGAGTTTCCAAGCTTCAAAATCTCAGCTATCTCCCAATGCAATCCTCAAAATGAAGGAAGTGAGAAGGCATTGTTTTTCATGTGGAGCTTCAGGAGGAGCTCCTCAGACATAAGGAAAGGGGTTGGGGTGGGGGGGGGGACCGAAATAACATAAGTAGCATAAAAATATATCTGAGACACAGAGGTACACAGAAGTTTACTTTTATGCCATGTCTACGTTAAAGACATTTCTTAATTACTAAATCAAAGCAACTGTATTTAGAGCTTTGTTAATACTTGACTTCAAATTATTTAACAAATGTTTATTTAGTACCTATATACAAAGCAAATATGAATCAAATAAGGATCTAGCATAAAGAAATCTAAGAGTTTAGCAAAGAAAATGAGAAATACAACAAGAAACCCAAAAAAGCCTACAATAGAAGATACAATGATAGAGATAAAAGTTCTGTGAAACTCAAAAAAAGCAATTCCTTAGAAAAAATGTGGTGGCAATAGCACATTCAAAGTAGGCTTGAGGAATGGTTGAAAGTTTGATTCAGAAACTGAGAAGTGTTCTTCAAAGGGAATAAATGCTGGAGTTAAAGTGTAAGAGTAGGAAAACGTGAAAAAGGACCTACTCATAATTCAATCTGACTAGAACACAGGAGATGCAGAAGAAACAGAAGAGAAAAAGGCTGAGAAGGTAGCCAAAGGAAACAGCCTCGTGGGCCTGATGAAGCTAAAAATCTGAGGTATGGGCAAACAGGCCAGCCCAAAAGAATAAAATGATAAAGAAAAATCAGCCACCACTATAGGTATTCACATGAGTAACATTCTGAGTCTAGCTTTTTACTTGCCAACGTTAAACAGCAGAAATATCTTTTTTTTTTTTAAGAGACAGGGTTTCCTCCATGTTGGTCAGGCTGGTCTTGAACTCCCAACCTCAGGTGATCCGCCCACCTTGGCCTCCTAAAGTGCTGGGATAACAGGCATGAGCCACTGCACCTGGCCACAGCAGAAATATCTTTAATCAGACCTAGGCAAAATTGTAAAAGAAACATCTCTTATTCCCCCTTTTTTTTTTTTTCACTTCTTTTTCTATCACTTTTAGCAGCTGTCTTCCCCACTAACCCCTGCCTCTCAGATCTCCTCATCTTCTGCTTCAGAATGCTCATTCACAGAAGTAGGATATCAGAGATATAGGGTCCTGTATGCAAGCAAGAGAACTTTAGAAGATGCACTGGAAGTGAGATTAATTCTAAAGAGAATGAATTAGGAATTTTCATATTTCAGAACTCAATGAGATATGCTGGGGGAAAAGGAAGAAATGGAGGCTTTTCTGGCTTCCCAAAGCATACCAGAGAGGAAGGGCACCACATGTGACTAAGCATAAAAGACCCTAGTCCATTTCTACTAGGAACCTCCTGGCTCTCTCCTCCCCATTTCTGGGCTTTACTGGACTGGAAGATCAATGGCTACGCTGAACAGCTCCTCCTAGTTTACAGAAGCTGCCTATCCTAGCTCTGCTTGATTCAGTGTTCATGCCTAACTTAGTGTCTTACTTCTGCCTTCCACATCAAGAACTCAGACTTCCTGAGCACATATAACAGAGAATTTGACAACCACCGAGGGCAGATTAAGAATAGCATTTACAGCTTTTGTTACAGAAGGTTTCTGACTAGGCAATGATGACAAGTGATTTTTTTCGTTGTGGTTGGACTGAAATATACTGTGCTAATTGAATAACCTTAATATCACTAAACTTCCACCAGCATTAGTCAACTGTAAAAGTTGAGTTTAGTAATGTCTCTATCATTGACTATAATTTTTGCAATGATATATACTTGTAGAATTTTTTTTAGCTATATGAATAAAATTTAAATTGTAGAAATGCTAAGGAAACTTTTCATACCAGCAAGAACCAACATAGTCTTATATACTGGCTCAAGTAAGCATGGCTAATACTTGGCCTTTATTTACCTGAAGGTAAAGGATCAAAAACTACGATGGTAGACCTCAGTTTTCACAATCCTACAGGCTATAATCAGGTGAGTTGATTTTTCAAATTTTGGCAATAACTTCAGCTCAGCAAAGATTTACAAAACCCTTACTGTATTCCAGGCACTGGGGATACAAAGATGATTAAAACAAATCTCCATTTAATCATTTACAAAAACTTTAAAAATTGAAAACAAAACCCAATCAGTCATTTCTTGAAAATATCTATAGAGAGTTGTGTTACCTTTAAAACACTATAAATGTAAGTATTCTGAGTAGAACAGAAAAAGAGGAAGAAACACAACTACTTAACTTACATTTCTAAATATAATCTAACTCCTTTTCTAAAAATATTTCTAGAAATTATTTTTCCCTCTAGCTGAGAATACCTGAAATCATCAAGCTGGTCATAAAAATCTTAAGTTTGTTTGATAGAAAGACTACATAGTATACAATGTCTCAAAAGAATTTCATCAGATGTAGTTTTTGGTTTTACCCATTCCAAAATATCTGGAGAGGAAGAAAGGTGACTATTACATTGAGTTTTACAGCTAGAACACCAGTGTCATGGGAGCCTATAACAAATGAGTTTCTGTACTGAAGCCAAATTTCATTCCAATCATACTCCTTCCTAGGACTCACACAGACATAACATTGAAAGATCTTTTTTACAAAGGAGTTTTTAACGACGTAAGCATGAGCAATATATATACTAAAAAGAATATAATAACTTCCATTGAGCATATACATTATCTCCTTCACTTCTAAAGCCACAAAGAATAAAATCCAAATGGAGTAGAACAAGGATAGGGCAACAAAGGAAAGAGAAAGTCCAAATAACCATGAGGGAAACAGATGGGGCAAAGAGATTTCCTAAGAACAAGGCTATATATATACTTGAGATGGGGACTTGCTCTGCTGCCCAGGCTGGAGTGCAGTAGCATGATCATAGCTCACTCCAGCCTGGACCTCCTAGGCTTAAGCAATCCTCTGACCTCAGCCTCCTGAGTAGCTGGGTTTATAGGCATCCACTATCACACCTGGCTAATTTATTTTATTTGTAGAGATGGGGTCTTGCTATGTTGCCCAGGCTGGTCTCTAACTCCTGGCCTCAAACAATCCTCCCACCTCAAGTAATTCTCCCACCTTAGACTCTCGAAGTGTTGGGATTAAAGGTGTGAGCCACTGTGCCCAGTAAGGCCATATTTTTTTTTTCTTTGAGATGGAGTCTTGCTCTGTCGCCAGGCTGGGGTGCTATGGCATGATCTTGGCTCACAGCAACCTCTACCTTCCAGGTTCAAGCAATTCCCCTGCCTCAGCCTCCCAAATAGCTAAGACTACAGGTATGTGCCACCACACCCAGCTTATTTTTTGTATTTCAGTAGAGATGGGGTTTTACCATGTTGGCCAAGATGGTCTTAATCTCCTGACCTCGTGATCCACCCACCTCAGCCTCCCAAAGTGCTGGGATTATAGGTGTGAGCCACCTATTGCCTGGCCCAAGGCCATATATTTAATGCCTCATGAAAACAAGAGAAGGAGCTGCAGAGTTGTGAAGCTAGAAATGCTGGATCTCCCCCCTCCTCCAAAGAGGTTAGGAAAATTGATTTCACATAAAAAAGAAGGCCAGGCATGGTGGCTCACGCCTGTAATCCCAGCACTTTGTGAGGCTGAGGAGAGCAGATCATTTGAGATCAGATGTTCAAGACCAGCCTGGCCAACCCCGTCTCTACTAAAAAAAAAAAAAAAAAAAAAATAGCCGCCTGTGGTGGCGGGTGCCTGTAATCCCAGCTACTCGGGAGGCTGAGGCAGGAGAATCACTTGAAAACTGGGAGGCTGAAGTTTCACTGAGCCAAGATTGCACCACTGCACTACAGCTTTGGCGATAGGGTGAAACTCAGTCTCAAAAAAAAGAGAAGAAAAGAGTTGTTGCTGAATCCCAAAGTCACTATGAGAAAGAAGGGAAGAAGGCAGATAATAATACCCCTACAGACAATGACAGCAAACTAGAAAGAAGGATCTCTGAATTTAAGGGCACCAACACAACTGAGGGTAAAATTACAATTCTGAGAACAGAGGATCAAGGGAAGGTATACATACTAAATGTTGAGATCCAACATCTATTAAATACTTCCTGTTCTCTTCCCCAACTTAGCTCTGAGAACCTGCCAGCCAGGTTAATCCTCCAGGCAAGAGATCAGAAAATTCCTTTCTAGGAATCTGAGGAGAACAAGACAAAAGACCTGAAGATACTGACAACAAAGGTTCCCCTTCCAGATTACCTTTTGGAGAAGGTCTTAGTCAACACACACACAGAGCTTTCAGCTAGTTGTTTAGTACCATCTCTGGTAGCCAACGACCATTAATTAGAGAGCTGAGGAGGCCTTCAAAATAGGAGGTCAAAACAACCAAACAGAAAAAAGCAACTTGGAGGAAACAACAACTACACAGCAAAATAAAAATTTGGGGGGAAAAATTATATGTATGTGTGTGTGTGTATAATTTATATGTGTGTGTGTGTATGTGCGTATGTGTGTGTGTCTCTCAGAGAGGTAAGAGGAGACATTCTATCTAT